CAATACGCGCATGCAAAGTTTAAATTCTTTTCCATTTGTTGTTGTTGTTATTGTATATTTTATTCTATTAAAAACAAATTTAAAATATTTTCATTCAATTTTCATTTCAACAACAACAACAACAAAATAAATCTTAGCTATATAGAATTTCAATTCATTTCAGTTTTCTTTTCTTTTCAATATCGGTACCGTTTTTTTTTTCAATTTCAATTTCATTTTCGATTTTTTTTTCTTTTGCTTAAATCTTTTGCGCTAAGATTTGACATTAAAATTTTACAATTTATTTAAATTTTTCTCTTTGTTATTTGCCCCAAATCATTGTAAATGGTTGATGATAACTATTTCATTTTTTCTTTTGGAAATAAATAAAAATTGATTCCGAAATTATTTTTAGCTCCAATTTGATAAATTAATGAGATTTTTTTTCCTGTTTTGTTTCAGATGCAAATTTTTTTTCCATTTTTATATTCATTTTAAATCTGTCTTTATGAACAAACAAACAAACAAACAGACAAACGTTAATATAATCATTTTTGTTGTTGAATAATCTGATTATACAAATCATATGATCATTAATTTTAGTTGTTGTTGTTGTTGAATGGCTCATTTGATTTTTAATGATATGAAAATATTCAAAATGAATAAAATTACAGAAATGGTCAAATTACAGAAATGTCCGGTAATTTTTGTTGTTGTTTTGTTTGTTCATCATTGTCTTTCTCCAAAGATATTATTATGGATAAGAAATTTTCCGGAAAAAATTCTTCAGATTGTTTTTCTCTCCCACACTCCTTATTTGTTTTTGATTTCTGTAAAAGTTCTATAACATTCTTGGAATTTTTCTTTTTAGTTTTCATTTTCATCCAAATCATAATTAATTAATGATATGTAAATTGAGAAAGTTTTCGTTTTTTTTTTTGAATAAGGAGTTTTATTCTTGCAGAAATTTTAATCATCAATTTAATTTCGATTGTTTTAATCGATTGTTTTGTTACGAAAATTGCCAAAAAAAACGAATAAACAAACATCAGATAATCAATTTTCGATTGATGAAAAAAAATCAATAAGATTGGATTTTGGTTCATTTTGTTCGTTTAATGTAACTAATTTTTTGTTTTTTTTATCTTCTTCTTCTTGAATGATAATAAAATTCCCAGATGTAGATTATTATTATTATTATTATTATTATTATTATTATTATTATTATTACAGTGGTACCTCGGTTAACGACGAT